TCATTATATATATAATTACTGATAATGGGCGATTTTTTTCACGTTTGAGTTCGAGAACATTAATGAAAGATTAAAATATATTAGTGAATATAAAACGATATAAATAAAATTATGAGTAATATTATTCATATATTTTTGTAAATATTTTCCGAAATATGTTTTTTTTATAATTTTAATAATTTTTTTTGTAGTAATGAACCATGGAGTTGTCGTAAGCATATCTAAATTGTAATATTGTTTGACGTAAAAAATACAATAACAAAATAAATTTAATTTTTGAGAAGATTTTAATCGGAATTACTTTTTTACTTATCATGAAGTGTGACTAAAGTACGTAAAAAACACTATTCGAACGTCATTTTTTTATATTTTTGCGATTGTTTTTTTAATTTATATTAAATTTAAATTTGGGCGTTTCGAGAGTGAAATCTTTAATTTTTTAGCATATTGGCAAATAATAAAGTTGTTAATAAATTATTGTAAATTAAATAAAAAAATATATAAACCTTTCAATAACTATTATTAATTGACATTAGTACATAACTTTTATATTGCCAACTTTTTTTTTTTAAATAGAAACACCTTAAACAAGTCTTACTAAAAAATACAACCCAATGTTGTCCATTCTCTTTGTAATAAAATCATTATTAATCTATTTTCATCTGTAATCATATTTAGATCTACATTTTCTAATAAATATTAAAATCATTTCTGCTTGATATCAAGCTGTCTTAGTCGAAAATAAAATCTTATAGTTGCAAGATCAATGATGTTACTACTGATCCAAAGGGAGTCTCATGATTTTAAGTACTTAGAAATTTTTAGAAACCAGTTAGCTTATTTTTATCAGCGTTTTAAAATTGTTTTTATAAACAAAGCATCAGCCAAAAATATTTGTCAAATCATTTTTATGACTTTGTTTATTGACTTTTCAGACTAAATCTAAAAAGATTATAAAAATGGTGTGCTATACTTTTCTGATCAAAATATGTATGTATGTATAAAAAAAAAGTTACAATCAGATAAAAGCACGCCTTTATTTACATCTGATTCTATTGTCAAAAAATATATATTAATTGTGTCTCTTATCACAATTTTTGTCGAGCCCCAAAATTTCCTCATAATTTGGCGAATAACGAGTCTTCTGATAAATACTATCGTCCCAAATTTAGACTTTTTTTGATAAGGTTGTTTTTATGTTGTCAAGCACTGCGCGTGGACTAAAATCTATATTTTTTTTATTTTTCGGTGATTTTTTGACAAAAAATTTTGCAATCTTCCTCGCGGTCTACTTTTCGCGAGGTTATCTTCTGGAGCAACAAGAAAACTGAACCAGATTTAGCAAGTTGACAAAAATTAGAAAAAAAATTATCTTGATAAATTAGAGGCTAAAGTCCAACACAGTCTTGTAGAAAAAATTGATTTTGCGATTTTTTATAAATGATGTAACAATCCAGATTGTGTCTAAGCTGCTTGTATCAGTTCCATTATCGTATTAAAATTGATTTACTGCTAATCACTTGAATTAAAATTGTGTATTAAAAACAATTTAATTATTTCAAAACAGATGTGATATTTTTGAATCACTGATTAAATTAATATTTTGACAATATTGCAATTGTAGTCAAAACAACGCCGAAATTTGTATCGACTTTTTGACCTATTCGCAGGTATATAAATTGTGGGATCAAATTTCAGACAAATGCATGTACGTGTGCATATGTAGACTCTTTTATTTATTTGTTTTAAAAATAATGGAAACTTTATTTTTATATCAATGCTCAAATAATTTTCCATTATATAACACTCCGATGTAAATATTTTTATTATTTATTATTCATATAACCTGTGACTAATATTCAAACAACCCTAAAAGATTTGTTCATGATTTTAACCTTTTGAAATTTTAGTGGACATAAAGTGGTTTTTATTTTATCAGTATGTAGTATAGGCATTTTATTATATGCGTTATCACTTATCATACATTTTTAAAAAGCAGATTGCGTAGAAATAATTTTTGCTAGCGGAAGTTATCGCGATAACTATATAATATGGCTCTTATATTACATCATACATTTGTATTGTATATTTAAAATCACCTCACACATTATTACAAATGCGACAAAAAAATTTTTTTTCAAGACAACCACCGGGTTGCCACCATCATAGTTGATGGAGACTCTCCAATTAGTTTGGAGCAATAAAAAACTATAATTTACCATTTACTAACAAATCCTGCAATGACCAGAAAAAAAGCAGAAAATCTTTGGTATTCTTCAAAATCAAATAAATTAGAAGATATATAAAATATTCCATCGAAATTCCCGGGAAGTACGTTTAGGGAACCCTTTGTAGAAATGTCCTTCAAAAGAGCAGGTAACTTGTACGTGCTTTTGTTGCAAGTAAAGAGGGTAGCATTGGTTTCCAGAGGAAGAAATTTTATGGCCAATAGGACAAATAAAACGAAAAAATTACTGTTCATTATTCAATTGAATTTACAATGAGGATAGGAACATTCTACATCACACAATTAACTTCTGGAGAATTTTATTAAGTATGGTCAACGATTACATACCATAAGACCATAATACTATAAAACTATTTTTCTTTAGATATGTTATTTATTTAGTATTAATTATTCATAATAATTATTTCCACAGACTCAGAAACAAATATTGTTTATATAAAAGATTAGTCTTGATATTTTGTCTAAATTTAATTTGATTTTTTTTTTATTCAAGTTTCAAATATCGAATTTAAGCAGTCTTTCATAAAAGTAATGAGTTGCTAATGGAAAGTTTATCTAGAGTATTTGTTATCGTTGCATTCACCTTCAAATAGTATTTTATTTTTTACGTATTTTATCCAAAAACCTATATTTTTTTAGAAATTCTAAGCACACTTGGGGAGTTTATTTTATCAGTTTAGTTTTAGATATTTAGCCTTTTTTATCCATTAAACTTTGGCATCATCATATCAGTCTCTCCTTACTTAATTTCTTTAATAAGATAACTATTCGAACCAGATCAATCTGGTTCAAATCAAAACATTTGCATTAACAGAAATTGCCTTATAATCACTGTCAATCAAAATATAAGTGACATGCAATCAAAAGTTATCTGTCCAACCTACTATAAATATTAAATGGTACATCTAAATTGCGGATCTGATGGTAAAACATACAAACAAATTTAAATCAGTATAGATACATATTTGTTTGCATGGAAATTTTATGAATTACAAATGTAATTAATATCACATTTCTATAATTAGCAAAATCTTTCGAATTAATAGGACTGGAGTCGTCTTAAGTGTCAATTAGCAAAATTATTAGTAACAAAAATTAGTGATGAATGCATGATTACGTCACTAATTTACATTCAATGATGCTAACTTCATTTTTTTTAAAAAAAAAAACTCAATAAATCTATTTTTGAGAATACTTTATAACAAAAGTATAAAATTATTAAATATTTTTTTTAAGAAATTAAAAATTCATTCAATTTTATCAGTAATTTATATTTTAAATTGATTTGCAAAAAATGACCTTGATCCATTTATTCAAAATTTCTGCTTAAATATTTGATTTGTCAAATTTTGCATTTGAGATTTTAATAGTACATACAATAAGTATGTTTTGTTAAAATGAATATTTTGTACTTATGAAAATCTTTCCAATTAATTTAAATTATTTCTGAAATTCTTTTAAATTAACAAAGAGAACCTCAGGTTATTCGTCAGGGATTTTGATAAAATTTTGCATGGTGATACAGTTGATAGTCAAACCGAGCCCCTTAAAATATTATAGGCCTATGGGAAGTGGTTTAATTATAAAGACAAATGGTATATTATTGATGATTTTTTTGAATGAATTAATTAAACGATGAAGATTGTTTTTTACTTAACAATAAGATAAAATACAAATAATTTTTAGAAGAAAAAAAAAACAGAAAGATCAGATCATGGAAGCGGATTAATTCAAAAACTAGTTAGTAAATGATGCACTTATTTTATTGATTTTAGTAGATAAATCGACACACAAATACTAATTAAAAAGGTTTGTATTTTAAAAAAATTATTTAAATATTAATAAAAATTGTGACTTATTTTGCAACCATTTTTGTGATACTCTTATGAAGTCAACACAAGTTTCATATCAAAAAAAATATTTAAAAAAAATTATTTATACATACATTTCACATTACATCTTTACAAAATGTAATGTTAAATATAGCTATAATATTTAAAAAAAAATATATATGAAACATTAATGTGTTTTCATAATGGTATCACCAACATGGTTGCAATATGGAGGTCACAATTTTCATTAAATTTTGAATAATTTATTTAAAACAGACTTTTTAAATTAATATTGGTTTTAAACAACTTAAGTAATAAAATTTAAACAGCATATTAACTGGTAAAATTTTGGTATCTTGAAGCAACTTGTTTGTGCCATTCGCTTGGACAGAAGTAAATATTTACATCATATACATATATGTAAATATACATGTATATGATATTTATACATACATGTATATGATATTTATACCATAAATATTATTTTATCTAAAATTTATAAATAACTCTAAACCCCCACAAATTAGTGCACTAATTCTGTTTTGATGTTTTTGCAAACGTCTAGAATTTTTCCAAAATCCCACAACTACCAACACATCCACAATTAGTCTCATTAATACGTTATTAATTATTAATTAAAAAAGTGTGTGTGGTGGGTGTGTGAGCCCCATACGATCTTCGACCAATCAGAATCGTCTTTAAAAATTGGCGCTGTTATCGAACGGATATATATAAGCGTAACTCGAAGGTTTTGCATCAGTGGTCAGTTGACAGCCGGTGTAGAAGTAACAGCACTTTTAAATGGATACTTGAAATTAGTAAATTTCATTTTATTTTAAATTTTATTTTATTTTAACCGAGTGATATTTTATTACCGTACTTTTGTATAAATATTTTATTTTAAATAAAATATAAACACACACCAAGATGCCTGAAGTAATCGAGAAAAACTACCAATCGTAAGTGGAATAATTATGTTGTTTGATATATATCATTTTTGCTAATCAAGAATTTTCAATAAAATTTTATTCCTACATATAGCAATCGTTTAAAATATAAGAATTTATACGATTTTATTAAAACTGTGTTATAAATTCAATGCCAATTTTGCCCAATTAATTAATAGCTAAAAATTCGTTCTTTAAATCTGCAATTACATATTTTTTCTATATAAGACGTTTTTGATATAAGGCAATACAAATATTAAAAAAAAACTATAATCGTTTGTTATAAATTTAGGGCTAATATCATCAAATTTATTAACTTTATTAGTTAAATATTTCTCTTTCAAATCAAATTGACTTGTAAATTACATAATATTTGTCATAGGAAAGGTTTTTAATGAAAGCATACTTCGCAAAAATGTTGAAAAGTGAAGAAAGATTGCATTTTTCTTAAAACACTTAGTTCAGGTTAACTTTATATAAAATAAAAGACCTAAATATTTAAAACTAAGAACACTAAGCTTCAGAAATACTAGAATATTTTTATTTACTCGTTTTTTTAAACTGCATACGATAAATTGCTATGTTTTGATCAAATTAATATATTTTTTATTCTTTATCTATTAACCGAAATTTTTGAATATTATAATCAAATATAAATGTTCACATAATTTTAATAACACAAAGGTTTTACCTTTAAGGCTGATTTAATCTTAAACAAACGACAAATTTATTACTAAAGTTGCAAATTCAAAAATAGCAAAATGATTTCTTATTTACTCATTCATTCCAAATTGCAAACAACTATAAAAACAAAACGTTACGGAAAAATTCATAAATTTATCTGTATCTTGCATATTCATTAACCCTGTTTTATATAACAATTACATTTATCTTTTAATCGAAATCCTCAATAAATAAATTTTAATACCACCAGCATTTAAAATAGCTTTCGTAAAATTTATTATCTACACAATTTTTTTTGCATATGTTTGATATTTGCATAAATTATTATGCTTAATGAGGCAATTTATGTTTATATCTTTCGCAATAACATCTGTTTCATCTGAATATATTTTGATACTAGATTTTATACGTTGACATAACAGTTTTCATCGTGAAATCTTTGATAAATATAAATTTATAATATTGGAAAGTGCGTTGTAGAAAAAATAATTACACGTAATCCATAGTCATCAAAAATTTATATACGCATATTCTAAAGTTCAATTATTTTTATCAACGATTAAGAATTAAATATTGTTTTAATTATGTTTATATTATCTCTGACTTTAAGCTAGGTATAAAAATAAATTGTTACAATGCGACATCAGCAATATTTGTATAAACATTTTAAAATTAGCGCCGAATGTTGTTTTAGTTGCCGACCACGTGCTAAAATACGCACGTTTTTCATTTACGAGAATATTGCGTACTCGTGCTGAGACTAATATATTTTGAATAATATTTACTTGAAATAAATTGTTCTAATATATGTGTTAAAAAAATATAACAAGACACAGTTTTATATAATGTATAATCCAGGGATATGGTTAAGACTAAGGCCATGTACAAGGCCTAATCTTCAGGATCCGCCAAAAACTTCCTTTTTTAAAATGTTATAAATAAACGGAATATTTTGCAAAAATAGTGCATTTTGCACTTTATATTTTTTATTTGATTTCGCATTTTACTTTCTGAATTCAAAAATCTAAATAAAAAACTAAATTGCAAAATACATCGTTTTTGCATAATTGTATATTTTGATTTGCATCGATAGTCAATGCATTGTAAAAACATCAATGATCGGATCACATGCCCGAAATTTATTTTTTTCTTTAAGACTAATCAATCAAATATATATTTATAATAATTAAAATAATATATTCATTCAAATAAATAAATACTAAATAATTCCTTACCTTTTCAGAGTGCCCAATCTGATGAACCGATGCGGCGGCGTAAAATCAGTTTCTTCCAATGTTGGCTTCTACAATCAACTACGTGGTTACAAAGTTATCCACGGTGAAATTTCCAGTTTATCACCAAAAGTAAGAACAATATTTATTTGGTTGTCTTCATTTTATATATTACAATTAAAAATCTGTTGGATACGGTCCTGCTTTTATGAGTAAACGATAAGGATATTCTAGGAATCTGGGATCGTTTGATTAACATCTCAGAAATTATGATTCATTGAAGTATTTACTTAAATTACACACACTGAATTTTTACACATAACTTACGGATATTAAGTCAAAAACACCCAAAATTAAATATACTAAATATTTATTAATACATCTATAAGGTAAAATCCCAATTTTATATTGGTTACTACTGTATATACTTTAATCAAACAAATAATCCCACTCGTATGAATCAAAGATTTGTTTGTAAATAATAAATTCTTAAATGCATTTTAATTAACACAATCGTTGCATAAGACAATGCACAGGAACTTTAATTGTTCTTAATATATTTAGACAACATTCTTCAATTCAATAAGCAACAATTACTTAATGTGTTATGCATTTTTATGTTATTATAACACTAGTAGAAATTTTAAGATAAGAAACCGGCGTTTAATTTTTAATTCATTAAATAATTTGTAAACTTTTGTGATAATTTTGAATATGCTTTAATTTCTTAATTAAATTAGAGTTGTGTTTTGCATTTTTTATATACCCTTACTTTTTTTCTCCAGGTTAGAAGTTATGTGGAAGACGCAGCCACCCTGTGCCAACCTCAACAAATTCACATTTGCGATGGATCAGAATCTGAGAACTCCCAATTGCTGAAGCTTATGCTGCAGCAAGGAACCATTCAGCCTCTTCCCAAATATGACAACTGGTACATTCTATTTCTATTAATTTTTATTATTAAATTCAATTTCATATGATCTAAATGGACAATTCCAATTTTTAGCTGGTTGGCTCGCACCAATCCCGCGGATGTTGCCCGCGTGGAAAGCAAAACTTTCATCAGCACTGATCGTCGTGAAGACACCATCCCTACACCAGCTGATGGCGTCAAGGGAACTTTGGGAAATTGGATGTCCCCACAGGACATGGATAAAGCTATCATGGAACGTTTTCCATCATGCATGAAAGGTAATTATCACAACGTGAATTGTATTATTATATCCAAGACATCAAAATTTGATTTTTAATTTCTAAACGTTATTTTAGGACGTACTATGTATGTTGTTCCGTTCTCCATGGGCCCAATTGGTTCACCCTTGAGCAAAATTGGAGTCGAGATCACTGACTCAGCCTACGTTGTGGCCTCTATGCGCATTATGACCAGAATGGGTAGTGCTGTTCTTGAAGAATTGGCAAAGGCGAACGCAGATTTTGTAAAATGTCTTCATTCAGTCGGATGTCCTGCCAATGGCATCGTTGAGATGCCCAGTTGGCCTTGTGACCCAGAAAGAACAATCATTTTGCATAGGTAAATACATTTTTAAGTCTGCTATTACTGTTTTACTCAAACAGAGCTGTAACGATGATTTTAACTTATGCTTTTATAATTTAGGCCACAAAACAATGAAATTGTTTCCTATGGAAGCGGTTATGGAGGCAATTCTCTTTTGGGGAAGAAATGCTTTGCGCTCCGTATCGGAAGCACAATTGCTAAAAGGGAAGGTTGGCTTGCTGAACATATGTTGGTGAGTACACACATTATACAATATTTAATTTAATTTTATATGGGCAAAGTTTTAACTTTCTGATCAATTCCAGATCCTTGCTATCACTTCTCCATCTGGCAAAAAACGTTACATCACCGCTGCTTTTCCATCAGCTTGCGGTAAAACTAATTTAGCTATGTTAACTCCATCTCTGCCTGGATACAAAGTTGAATGTGTCGGAGACGATATTGCTTGGATGAAATTTAACTCTAAAGGAGAATTACGTGCCATCAATCCTGAAAATGGTTTCTTTGGAGTGGCTCCAGGAACATCCTATGAAACAAATCCCAATGCTATGGACACCATTTTCAGAAATACTATCTTTACTAATGTGGCTGCCACTTCTGATGGTGGTGTATATTGGGAAGGTCTTGAAGGTACTCTACCAGCTGGAGTGACTGTAACAGATTGGCAAGGAAGGCCCTGGACACCTGAGAGCAAAACACCCGCTGCTCACCCCAACTCAAGGTAAAAAGAAAATTTACATCTTTAATTAAATCACAACACACTGTATTTTATTGATCACAATTAATTTATATTTTTAATTGCAATTAACTCATATATAATATGTATAATATAACATTTATTTTGCAGATTCTGCTCGCCTGCCTCTCAATGCCCAATCATTGATTCTGAGTGGGAATCTTCTGAAGGAGTTCCAATTAGTGCAATTCTTTTTGGAGGCCGCAGACCTCAAGGCGTTCCATTAGTTTACGAAGCTCGTAACTGGACACATGGTGTTTTCATGGGAGCTTCTATGAGGAGTGAAGCAACTGCCGCAGCTGAGCATAAGGTATGTGATAAGATAACAATCTACTTCAACTTCAAACAAACTTCAAATACTTTAATAATAATTTAATAAATTTAACACTTACTATATTTTCTAGGGAAAAGTTATAATGCACGACCCATTTGCAATGCGTCCATTCTTTGGATATAACTTTGGCCATTATTTGGCTCACTGGCTCAGCATGGAAGACAGAGCTAGAGGATTAGGTGGTGAAGTACCAAGAATATTCCACGTAAACTGGTTCAGGAAAAGCTCAAAGGTACTTATCCTTTGATACATAAGAATATTCATAAAAATGAATTTACATTTTGAAAGCTTTTCATAATGAATACAAATTTATAACATGTTTTCTTAATTAATGTTTTCTATTCGCAGGGTAAATTCTTATGGCCTGGATTTGGAGAAAACAGCCGTGTATTGGATTGGATTTTGAAACGCATTGATGAAAACAATAACACCGGTTTATATAAAGAAACTCCAATCGGCAGAGTACCTGCAAATGGTTCATTAAATTTGGATGGTCTTAAGTCTCCTGTTGATATGGGAGAATTATTTAGCTTGCCCAAGGACTTCTGGGTGCAAGAAGTAAGTAGCAATAAATTAAGTTTTATCTATGACTTTCACATATTTTAAATATATATGCTAATTTTAACAAAATTGACTAATACTGATTTATTTTCAGGCGGCTGATATTGAAAAATACTTCAAATCTCAAATTGGTGATGATGTACCAAAAGAAATAACACACGAATTAGAGGATTTAAAGAAAAGAGTACAAACTTTGTAAAAATTTAGTTAATAAGTTACTTGTAAGCCATTTATTTATAACATTCAAAACATCTCGTAAGCAACATTTTAATGGGAAAATTATTTTACCCTCACGGTACAGTTATAAGTATTTTAACATTTTTTAATCAGACAGTATATAGATTATAGTATTTTTCTAATACTTTTAAGTCTAAATATATTTTTTTATAAAACTTAGTTTGTAAATTTTATAGACAATAGTATGTGATATTTATTTAAAAAAAATTATTAGACCAAAAGAAATATTGTACATAGTTTTATAAGTATATTTTTAAAAATATAAAAGTTACAATTATTTAGTCAAGTTTTATTTCACACACACACTGTGACTTTTAAGTAATCACATTTTTAAAGCTAATAAAATCAAATTATCACAGTCTATAATGCTCGTCAATCATGTATATCTTAAAGGGCACTTCTATTATAGATGTGGATACCCTCTGTTATATTTCACTTTTGGTTTACTTAGTATCAAATTGTGTTTAGTGATGGTGTACCCAAAACCGATCAACAATGATTCCAATTCGCGCAGATTTGGAACAAGTGATTTTATTTTTTTGAATAGAGGTTTTAATGGAATCATAATGGCTTGACTATCATCTCCATATTGTTCACACTGATCATTTGAATCAGAATATTTAGTAAGGTAAAACATAAATTCTTGTAATATTTTATCATCAGTTTCTCTCAAGTCTTTTTGAACGGGATACTCGTAACTGTATATTAGCTCATAGTTCTTGACGGTATCATTTTCATGTTTATTATCTGCAAATTTTGTTTGCTTATGAAAAACTGCCATTTGTGTTAATGGACCTATGCTTTCATAGCCTTTGGGAGGAACAACAATGTCCTGAAATTCAACTGCATAGTCTGGGTATCGTTGAATTATATTTGAAGCCCAATCTCGAAATTGAACTCTTGTCCACTCAAATTTATGATCTTCATGCCTCATTTTATTTTTCTTGGAGAAAACAATGTTAAATTCTACATTTGGTGTGGTAATTACTACTAATTTTGGTTTGGCGAATCCAAATATAGTATATGGCAAATTGTCCAACTCATTAGGAAATAAGTGTTCAATGACTTCAATGCATATAATAGCATCTGAGTTCTTAATGCAAGAATCTATCTGCCCAATATCACCATGATAAATGTCTACTTTTAGAGGCTTCTTCATATATTCAACTATCCCGTTAAATGCAGGATTAGCCTTCTCTCCATGAAGCTTTAATTTTTCTTCATCAATGTCAATACAAATTATGGAATCTAATTGTTCCATTGTCTTTAACACTTTAAAAAAACGCAATTCTCCACAACCAAAATCTACTATTGTTTTGATCTGCTTACTCCATTCCTCGCTATTTATGATGTTGTAAACAGCATCTTGTCGCTGCTGATTGGCTTCTGGACAAAATTTTACTTGCCCAGAATTGGAAATTTCTGTTCTGGGAAAAGGCTTCATTGTAAAATGCAATGGATTTTGTATTTTCAACTAAATAATGTCCACTAGTAAACATATAACAACAACTCACATAAACAACTAAATTAAATTGCGTGCAGGTTGCGCATGAACTGCTACCAACCTTAATAAATAATTTTTTTATTGTTTTGTGCTGATTACTTCATAGCTAAGTTAGTAGCAGGAAGAGGAACGCAGAAACTGTTGCTGTACACAGCTGTAATCCGACATGTCCGACAGCAAAAAAGTGCTCTAGACAATAATAAAATATAATATATTAAAAACAAGTGCCTAAAGAGTGATTTGAAGCAGTACCTAATTTCTTTATATCGTATTTTAATATTAAATTATTAATCACAAATAATCTAATATTATCGACAAATTTTGTGCACCTGAGTCGTCTGTCATTTTAAACTATCTAGTTTAGCGGCATAACGTTTGAAAGGTTATATTTTTAATCTAGGGTTCACACCATGTTGTAAGTTGTCATAAACGTTTTTTTAACTCTCCTAAATTAAACCAGTTTTAGTTTTCAAAGTTTTGTTTACATTTTGAAAATGGTGAGTGCTGAAAATGAAATGGTGCACATGATGGCACAGAAGTTAGGATTTGAAGAAAATACACAGTTAATTAAGTAAGCTTTTTGTGTTTTGTATCTTTGTTGAATATTTTTTATATTTATTCTTATTCATATATTACTTTAGTAAAGCAAATGAGCTACTAAGGCTGCTGAAATTAAAATCTCTTGGAGGAAATTCTATAACACTAACTGGTCTTGCCCAAGCGGTGATTTGCCTAGATTTGGCAAGTTCTTTCTTAGGCACCAGCTTTGATTCGGTTTGTAATTTTGTATATATAAAATTATGTATATGTTGAATAAGTAAATCAATTTCTTCAGAGCAATTTGAGAAATTTGATATAATTATTACATTTACAAAAGTTTCGACAGTAAATTTAAACTGGAAGTAACTCCACAACAAGTTAATTACTTGTAACTACTTTGCAAAGGCACAATTAAACTAGTTCTTGTCAAATTTAATGAAATTATAGGTTGAATACTTAACAGTTATGAAAATATTATTCGCTTTTGGTCAGACATTTAAGACGAAAGTTAATATTCAATCTTTTCATTTAAATTGACAAGAACTGTTGCAACGTAATTAGAGTTACTTTCAGTTTAAGAAAAATGTACTATCATATGTCGAAAGATTATATAAAATTCTTCCACATTCATTTATGTGTGATGTATAACAAATATGCTTTACAATTTATTACAGGATTATGCACTGAAATTGTCGGGTTTTAAAAAGAGTACATATTTAAACAGTCTAAGAACAATTGAGAAATTATTAGATTTATCCAAAGATCTAACAATTAGTGAATTATGTGTTCAACTAGGCGTTACTTCTGTAGGTATATAAACATTTATTATATCATTTCTTTTCCAGCATAAATGTGATTGCTATATTTTTCAGGTGAAAGAAAAAGCTGAGATATTACTATCAAAGTACAAAACTTCTCATGATTGTGATATATCACATCCACAGTATGTCGCTATGGCTGTATATCAGGCATGCAGGTAATACTAATTTAATGAAATATTAAATGTGAACAAATTGCCTATAATATTTTAATTATCTTTCAGACTGAGTAAAATAAAACTACAGAAAAGCATGATTGTGCCATTTAGTCGAATAAAAGGTAGTCAATGGACTATGCTTGAGAAAACTTGGACTACATGGGTAGATGAGGTATCACCTACTTTATTTAAAGATGCTGTGCAAAATAACGGGGACAAGATAGCAGAAAATCTTGGAAAAGGTTAGTGGAAATTTTAGTTAATATATAGGGTGCATGAAAATGATACTTCGAATTTATTACATACTGAACTTTATTGTATATCACATTTATTTCATTTGTACAGAGGTATTTTAATATTAATTAACAAAAAAATACTCAATATTAATAACATAGCTTAATTTATCGCAAAAATATTTTGAAATCAATTATTTTTTGTTTCGTTGTGCATTGTTTGGTTTTTTTGGTGGTGCCCATCTAAGTGCAGCTGAATCTACAACTAATCTTGGTCTTTTATACATGGGTGAAGACAAATGTTCATTAACTAATTTAGGTGTAACACATATCACATGTTGACCTTTCCAATATTTCACCATATTCATTGATTGTAAGGTGTAGATAATATCTGACTGATTAATGCAACTCATGTCACTTAGATCTTTAATGGACAAGGTGCCCCTGCTAACTCTTAAAATTTCCAGAATGACCCAAGACCAATAACTTCTATAACTAAGTTTTCCTAAATCTGAAAGAGGTTTTTCTGGACTTCCTACACAATCTTCTATCCTCGACAATTCATAACTGAAAGCTATTAATAATTTACCATAGCCTTGTCTTTGGTAAGGCGGTAAAGTAAGGATACAAGCTACATTATTTCCTTCTGGAGAATCTTTTTCTTTGGAAAAATATCCTACAACATGTGCCCCTACTTTGTCAACTTCACATAATACATAAAATAAAAATGGCTCTACATCAAAGTATAACGTTTTGTGATCTAGAAATAATTTTGCTAAAAGACAAAGGTTTTGGCAATACATTTTATGATCTTTGCCATCAACTTCAAATATAGAAATAGTGCCTTTTCGATATATTTCTTTTCCAACTGGTTGCCTGCTTTGACAGTCACCCAAGTGATACCTATAAGTTTTCTCTAGTTTCATGTATTTTAAACAATATTCACATATCCACAGTTTTGGTTGTTTCCCATATTCTTCTGGAAAGGGACTGAAGTACCAAGTATCAATTTCATACTTTCCAAATTGTATCTTATCTATATATTTAACTTTTGTGATAGCTTCATGTTCTCGCTCCAAAGCAGCTGTTGTGGGATCCATATCTGCATAAGATTTTGGTATATGATTTATTTCATCATGTCGTCGTTTCTGATTTCTTGTAATTTTTCTATCAGAGTTTTCTGTGGATAATAAATCTGTAGTTGTGTTCTTTTCTCTCTTCCACCCTTGGTCAAGCACATCAAATCTGGATAACATAATTCTTTCTTTGTTACCCATTCGTCAAGCCTTCGATTGTATCCTTCATAATGTACATAATATTCATATCTTCCAGTTGCATCATTAAATCTTGTATGAATGATTTCGCCAGGTTGCCAAGAATCGTATTCTGAAAAATGTTTGTTTTGAATAATATGGAACTCATTTCCTAGCTAAATGTTCATACTAAATCATCATATTGGTAAAAGAACTACTTCAATTAAATTTAAATCTAACAATTCGAATATTTATTATATTGTTTTAATTATAATTTATGGTAGTTTTTCTAGCAATAAGATTATTCAGTATGAATAATATAGAAAATATCTAAAGAAAGATTTTCATCACATAAGTAATTATTGCATCATAATATAGATAAATACAAGTATATCTTTTTCAACAGTTTTAGATATGCTATTCAAATGTATTTGTGGTGTTTTATATTATCATTAAAATAACTTATTCGTATCTCAACATGTTTTGAAACGATCACACATAATATACAATGACGCAATGGTAAATTGCCGGCATTTTTATTATGTTTTATCAAATTAGTTTTGCAGTAAATTCACGTAAAAATAAGTAAAAACACGAAAATATTAATATGCAATCTTCGCTCTATTTTTCTATTCAATTATATCTATTTATTTTGATTTTTCCATACTTCCTCGTTGAACTAAGTAATGATCCCCAATATCTAAGGGTTGCTCTTCTGTATCGTTTTCAGCATCATTCTCTTCTGTTATCTTAATTTTGGAATTGTTTTCGACAATGTCTGTTTCCATGGCTGGTTTTATATTAGGTTCGTTTTCTGAAACCATTATTAATTCTTCAAGTATTTATTGTAATTCTGTTCTTGCTCGTGCTGTCCTATTTATGCGTCACAAACAAACTGCGGCCATTTTTAGTCGTAACAGCATAGCCAACTTACTTAGCCTTGGTTATTCAGCGCGGTATTTTTGAAACGATTTTGTTCAAATGTGATAATTTTAAATTGACTAATATTTACAACTTAATATTTTTGAACGTATAATAATGGCTTATTTTAATAGTTCAAATCGTTGAATATAAAAATATGATAACAATAAAGGCAGATTTAATTCGCATTCTCGCAAAAGCTTTATCAAATCAATCAGTTATAAATAAAATGAAATATAGTTATTACTAGTAAATAGTAATTAATGAATATTTTATTAGTTAGTGATTAGTGGAAGTTTATTTAAATTGCTGCAGAAAATTTAATCAAATCAAAGTGTTTTGTGTATTCATTCAGGCGCATTTCTGTTTCACATAAATCAAGAAGCATCAAAGTATCTTTCAACAGCAAAAAAATTTTACGAAAACGTCTTCATATTAAGTTAAATAAATGAATATTACATATTACAAATTATTTTTATTTGTAACTATTTTTACTATGGGAAACGTAATAGATGTGTGCAGATTAATTATTGTGGTGATTAGTAGTGCAATTAAAGATTGGCTTGTATTTAACTTATAATTAGATAATTTTATTTGTATAGTGCTTGATAATTTAGTTACGCATTTGTAAATTGTAATTAATTTTTTATACTTAAATTATTATATTGATCATAGTGTAGTTGTGCAGTGCTTCAACTGTAAGATTAGAATCTTTAGTTTCTCCAGCAGTTTCCATGGATGATAGCCATTACAGATTTTTATCGTTACAGCTATAGATGCTGGAAAATCTGATGGAAAACAAGATTCTGAAAAAATTGAAATAGAAGACTATGATGTGTGGAAGAAACGAATACTTGAAGAAGCCTATAGAGAACTCGAAAAGCAGAAGAATGCTATGGAAATTTAAACTTTCCATAATATTAATTGTTGATTCATAATTGTTTGCGTTTTTTATACTTAGAATATAACAGTTTTTTAAATACAAGTTTTAAATGAAACTTATTTTTTAACTACTGCATCCATACGTCAGCTGCTCTTTATTTGAAAATTTAAAATTCCTACTCTCCGAATAAATAATTTAATTTATCATTATTTGAAAATATTTACTGTTTGAAAATAATATTGTGATACTTATAATATACATTATATTACATATATATTAGGGTGGTCCTTAAAATGGTCATTTTCGAATTTCCTTGCTCCCAGGGGCTTAAATGGTTCCAAATAGATAAAAAACAATTCTCTGAAAGTTTTAGCTCTTAATATTAACGTTTAGATAGAGCGCAATTCAATCAAAGTTTGTATGGAAAGAGCATGGAAAAAATTTTGAAAATTAAAAAAAAATGTTTTAGGTATAAGTTAGCGACAAATGAATGAGTTTTATTTATTCATTTGTTCACTAAATTACATCTAAAAAACATTTTTAAAATTTTTGAAAATTTTTCCATGCTATTTCCATACAAAACTTTGATTGAATTGCGCTCTATCTAAACGTTAATATTAAGAGCTAAAACTTTCAGAGAATTGTTTTTTATCTATTTGGAACCATTTGAGCCCCTGGGAGCAAGGAAATTCGAAAATTACCATTTTAAGGACCACCCTAATATATATATATATATATATATATATATTATATATATATATATATATATATATATATATATATATATATATATATATATATATTATATATATATATATATATATAATGGGTAGCGCTGCCCTAGGGCAGGTCTGTGAGCTGAGTTAAACTCCCACTCGATTCAGGAAAGAAGTAGTGTGAGAGTTTATCCCATTTCCATTTCACACCGCAGTGCCCGAGATGGGCTTATTTTCAAATATATATATATATATATATATATATATATATATATATATTATATTAAATTATATTTTGATTTATGTTTCAACAAATCGATGTTCGGCAGATGTATTTCCACGTTTTTATATTGAGAAAACACAATCTGAAAAATTTGTTGGTAATTATTTCTGAACTTCAATTACTATAGTAATCAATTTATAAAGCATATTCAGTTTAAAGTTCAGAATTAATTACCAACAAATTTTTCAGATTGTGTTTCTCAATATAAAAATGTGGAAACACCTCTACCGAGCATCGATTTGTTGAAACATAAATCAAAATATAATATAATATAATATATATTATAATAATTATAAATTCTATAGAATTTATTTCTCACTTAAGTACAGTGCTTGCTCATATAAAAGGTTAATATCCAGGGAATTTGTATACCGTATAGCCTTCCATTATAGATGGCAATGCTTGTTTCGTTCGATTCCAACCTTTGATTCTGATTATCTTGGCATCAGCTGCAAAGAACAGATTTACCCTTTCATTCTAGTAAAATGTTTTGAAAATTTAATTCCAACTTTTGTATATGGCCAGAAATATATATTTTTGGTAATAAACGTGCTATAGTAATTTGATAATCATGTGTGCAGACTTTGTTAAATTTCTGTAACTCTTAAGTTACTGCATTTAATAGGCAATTTTTTGGCAATGGCTTAGGGCAGTTTTTTTGGCATGACTAACATGTAAAATTTAATTTTTCAATAATACAAATTCAATCTTCATTGTATTGATACGAAGCAAGAAACTATTGATTTAAATTTGTTAGATTTGTTAGAACAGTGTCGAAACGTACATAATAAATATTTAATTATTTATTAGTAGAGTCTTTTTGTCCTTGAATTTTATTCAATCAGTAGAGTTCCTTACTATTTTTCGTCTTTCAGTTTGCTCGTCGGTAAAGTCTTTTTTTCCTTCTATTTTATTTTGCTCATCAGTAGAGTCCCTTTCGATTTTCTTCTTTATTTCTGTTTTTTCGTCAGTAGAGTCCTTTTTCTTAATTTATTTTTTAACTGTTTAGTTTGCTCGTCAGTGCTTGTTATTTCGACTATTTGGCTCCAAATAAACATTTCAAGAATTTGTTTTAACATGGAACAAAAAAATCTTAAGTTTATAATATTATTAACTTCTTGTAGCGTAAGTTCTTTCGAAAATTCTTGAATATCTTTATGTTTCAAAAGGTTATGAACATTTTGACATAATTTAAAAAAGATGTTTGTGTATGTGCGAATACCAATTATTGTCGACTATTTTGCGAACACGGATCAACCGATTTGAATAATTCAAAAAACATTCGATTCCTTTTGATAAGAAGATGTGCTGGTTAGTTTCTGGCAAAAATTGGTCCAGCCCTTTTGGAGAAAATCAGATGGTTTCGGCGGAACTAATCAACCGACATGAATGTGTAACAAAATTTCAAGAAATTTCAAAATTAAAAATAAATCAATAAATCTCTGTTTTATAAAATATCCAGGTTTCAATACAACATCTAAGTTGTCAAGAAATAACAGTATTTTCCCAAAAAAAAAAATAAAAAAAAATCATAATTTCCAAAACCGGCAATTTTTTTTCAATTATTTCAATATTCAAATTTTTCAAATGTTTCCAAAATTTTCAAAAATGTTGAAAAGAACTCAAAATTAAAAAAAAAAAACTTGTTTTTTTTTTGAGCTTTTACAAATTTTAAATTACGGTTCTAACAATTTGCCCTTCCTAAGGCACGATGCCATGTACCACTAGTTCGACTTTTTGGCTACAAATAAACATTTCAATGATATGTTTTAACTTAAAACAAAAAACCTAGAGTTTATAATACTATTTATTATTATTTTCTATACACCTTCCCCCTGGCCGCTCTCGCACATTTTCTATCTATTACCATCGAGGCACATTACGCATGCCGCCAGGGCACGCTATCGAGATTAGGCCGCATTCTTCATCTCCGCTACGCGTAGACCGGGGCCTCGTTCGGAATTGAAGGGGAATCTATCTCCGTCGGCGATTCGTCGTTCGTTCTGGACCAATGGGTATTCGCTCAGCGGGATGCTGTAGTGAGTGTTGAGAACACGCCTTCTTTGGCTAATGAACCGGCAACGCGCCGACAAATCGAAAACTGGGATGGAATCTAATAAGATATGGAAAGGGATGACTGAGAGTAGTGATTCAGGTTTACAATAGTGATTCGAATTCACAAATCTTCAAAAAATAACATTGACAATGATAGTGAAAAATAATCAAACTACATGATAAAGAATAAGTTGATTTTTTCTGGATCTTCTTCTGGATGTGAGAATGTAATAGGCAGCGATTTTTTGTAAAGTAGGTAGCTAGCTGAGATTTTGATCAAATGATTTTTTATGTCAATAATAATTTAAAAGATTATTAATAATTAGTAATAAACTGGAATGTGGGAATGGAATCTAATAAGAAATGCTCAGAAATGGAAAGGGATGATTTTGAGAGTTGTGATTCAGGTTTACCATAGTGATTCGAGTTTGCAGTAGCATCTATTCCAATCCTTAAAAAATGACATTTACAATGATATTTAAAAATAATCAAACTACATGACAAAGGATAGGTTGATTTTTTTTAAAGATAATATTGAAACTTAGTATGGCGGTCTTGTTCTAGATGTGAGAATCTAATAGGCAGCGATTTTTTGTAAAGTAACTAGCTGAGATTTTGATCAAATAATTTTTTATGTCAATAATAATTTAAAAGATTATTAATAATTAGTAATAAACTGAAATTTGGGGATGGAATCTAATAAGAAATGCTCAGAAATAGGAAGGGATGACTAAGAGTAGTGATTCAGGTTTACCATAGTGATTCGAGTTTGCAGTAGCGTCTATTCCAATCCTTAAAAAATGACATTTACAATGATATTTAAAAATAATCAAACTACATGACAAAGGATAAGTTGATTTTTTTTGAGATTTTATTGAAACTTGGTATGGCGATACAAATTTTGGTTTTGATGTGAGAATCTAATAGGCAAAAATTTTTGGTAAAGTAGCTAGCTGAGCTTTAAGAAAAAGAACATATATTTTTGTCAAATCATTTTTTAGGTCATTAATAATTTAAAAAAATATTAATTATTATTAATAATGAACTTTCCAAAATATCAGCTTACAAAAAAGTTTTCATTGCTTATATATATTTTTATTGAAATTTAGAGCAGTGGGCAAGGTCAAAATTTTAAAATTCTACATACAAAGTATCTAAATCTCAATTATTATTAATTAAGCCGATTATTTACACATATCAGAAAGTTCATGCTACTTGCCTCAAGGCAAATTGCCAATTACAACTAGTTAAAATTTGTAGTTATATTTAAAGTTGATTTAGAAAAAAATCTTGGTAATATATATTTTATTTACCAATATGGTCAAATCGGTCTTTATAAATAATATAGTTTTAAATAGAAATCAAATATTTTTTTAATTATTTAAATCAGTTCATCCGTGGTCTCGAAATAGTCGATAGAAAATTGTATATGCACATACATACACACATACATAACCATATTTTTTCTAAAGTATGTCAAAATGTTCAGAAGACCTTGAAACGTGAAGATATGCAAAAATTTTCATTTTCGATTACTATAATTTACCCTACAATAAATAACAAATAATTATCCGTACGGTTGTGAGTTTTTAATCTAAATTACATGTTTCTTTTAACACCTAATTGGGTACGTTTTTAATTAGATGTTTTTGACTGTTATTTCACAGCATTTTGTATTATAAAGCAATAAACCAATTCCATAACATGATGAAAACCAAACATATTCTTATTTTTTTGATAGAATATTTAATAATTTAATACCTATATTACCTTGGAAAATCCGAATCCCCGCTCTGGCAATCTGACATCGGGCAGCGCGATGTCAATTTTCAATTGAAAATATAGATCAAAATATGTTTCTAATTGAAAATAAGCCCATCTCGGGCACTGTGGTGTAAAATGGAAATAGGAAAAACTCTCACGCTACTTCTTCCCTGAATCGAATTAGAGTTTAACTCAGCTCACGGACC